ATGGCTTCTTTTAATGTGCTATGTAATGGGATTCAGTATTAAAGTTTTTTTTGTTTTTTTAAGATTTTTTTCTGGCTTTCCAAGGATTAAAAAGTAGAAGACACTTATTTTTAGAGGAAAAAAAATGTAATGTCTATCTGTAGGATATTAAATTGAAATTAATAGAATTATACTGGCAAATGTCTTTAAAAACAAAGTATGGGGCTTCCCTGGTGGCGCAGTGGTTAAGAGTCCGCCTGCCGATGCAGGGGACACGGGTTCGTGCCCCAGTCTGGGAAGATCCCACGTGCCGTGGAGCGGCTGGGCCCGTGAGCCACAGCCGCTGAGCCTTCGCGTCCGGAGCCTGTGCTCCGCAACAGGAGAGGCCACAACAGTGAGAGGCCCGCATACCGCAAAAAAAAAAAAACAAAGTATGAATGTTGACAGCAAGCAGGTAGCCACAGATGAAGAGAAAATTAGGAATATAAATACAGGAATCTTTTCATTTATTTATTTATGGCTGCATTGGGTCTTCATTGCTGCGCGCGGGCTTTCTCTAGTTGCGGTGAGCGGGGGCTACTCTTCGTTGCGATGCATTGGCTTCTCCTTGCGGTGGCTTCTCGTTGCGGAGCATGGGCTCTAGGAGCGCAGGCTTCAGTAGTTGTGGCTCACAGGCTGTAGAGCAAAGGCTCAGTAGTTGTGGCACACAGTCTTAGTTGCTCCGTGACACGTGGGATCTTCCCAGGCCAGGGCTCGACCCATGTCCCCTGCATTGGCAGGCGGATTCTTAACTACTGCGCCACCAGGGAAGTCCCAAGAATTTTCTTAAATCTGTCTCTGTCTCTGTCCTAAACTAGGAAAACTGAAACCATGGGGACAATCTAAAGAAAACAGTTCTCTGAATGAACATGTCAACAGAGTAAGCTTACACAAGAAAAGTTATAAACAACCTCATCGCCAGACCAGGTAAGTACATAATTATCCAGTTCTTATTCTTTTAATTTTGAAAGACTGTATATAAAAGCAGAGTCTCTGAGGGATAGAGTCACAGTAATAGTGGTGTTTAAGAAGAAGGTAGAAGTGGAATCATATACAGAACTTAATAAAAGTACATGTGCCTAGGCAATACCACAGTGGGTTCTAATTCACTAGGTTTGAGATGGGACCCACGTATCTGCATTGTTTCCAAAGCTCTGCAGGCGATTCTGAAGAGGACCCGGTTCACAGCACTGCTCCTACATGACCTATCTGCCCAAACAATGCACCTGGATGTCCCTCCAGATACCAATCCAGGTGCCCAGGGCACCTAAGTACGCACGTAAATTTCACACTCCCAGGGAAACCAGGCTTTCTAGGCTTCAGGGCTCTACACAGGGGGAAACCCCAGGATGATCCTTAGAGGCTTCTTTCTGTGTGAAAACCAAGTTAACACCAGAGTCTGTCCTGGTCTGCAGCTGGTCCTGGTTTGGCCGATTCCCTGTGTGACACCCTCCTGGTACCGGGTTAACTACCATTTGACTTGCCAGCTACCACCAAGACCTTATTATTTGCTATTAAAATCATTATCATGATTCTGGGCCTTTCTTTTCTCTTAATTCCTTCTCCCCAAAATCAGTGGTTTAAGTCAGAGACCCTGATTCCAATTTTAGCACTTTTATTAGACAATGTGATTTTGAGCTCGACCTTTGACTTCCACAGGTAGAGGTTTCTCATTTAAAACAAACTAAAAAAACTATAGGGGTTGGATTCGATCTCCAGGGTGTCTTCTGCTTCCAATTCCATGCTTGATTTTAGAATGCTGCCTTAACATTAAAAACAACAACAACAAAAAAACCCCAAGTTCTAGCCTTTTAACACAACAGTGACTTACAGGTGTGGCTTCCATCACAGAGACCACTGGACAGAGCACAGTGTCCTGTAAGAGTGTGCTTTACACAAGTGTGCTGGATGTCATTTTAAGTTTGGACATTAGTCTAACAATAGGTGCTTTGAAGTGGTCTGTTTGGAGCTTCACTAGAGCCTAACGTATACCTATCCCTCAGGGAGGAGCAACGGAAGAAACATGAGCAAGAACGAAAGGAGAAGAAAGCAAAGGTTCTGGGAGTTCGAAGGGGCCTCATTATGGCTGAACATTCATAATTTAATATCCCGTAAATATTCCTTTTCTCTGTAATATCCCGTAAATATTCCTTTTCTCTTTTGTAAATATTTTTGTACTGTCCTCTCACTTTAGCCAAAAGACCTTTTTCTGCTCTTAACTTTGTTCGTATATATGTAGTGTCTGTGGCTTCTTCACATGTTTTACCCCTGAAAAGACATTACTACCTTTAAAGCTCTCAAATTCTTTTGAAATAGTTTTTACCTAAGCCCCTGTACAACTAACTCAGTTTTCTAAAAAGACCCATCCTATAGATTCTTGACCTAGATTTTTAAGGTCAAGTTCCCTCTGCTGGCTCTAATAACAGAACTTCAGTCCTCTTCTAGGCAAAAGCACTTACCTGATGGTAGCTAATTATACTACAGACTTTAGTAGAAATTGAACAATAACAAGTTATGAATAGGGTAAGCTGTGAAAGGCCACCTCTTCATCCTCTAGAGAACCTAGTAGTCTTACCGAAACTGTGGGCCATATGGGTTTATGAGGCGTCAATATTTTATCTATGCGAAATGTTTCATTTAAGCTTCTATGTACCTCTTTCAGATCACTTCATGTAATTGTCAATTACATCTCTTTTTTTTTTTTTTTCCTCAATATATTCTTAAAAACAAAACTCTAGCTCATTCTAGCCTGGCTTATTTAGAAAAATACAGGGTCATATTGAAATTTGAGGATTGCTGCTTTAAGGATTACTATATGCTCTGTCAAACTTATACATCTTACTCAATTTATGGAAAAGACTAGAGTTGCTTAGTATCATATTCATGTTTGTTGCACCTGAATGGAGCTTCCGAGTTTTGTACTGCTTAAAATTTTCATAAATAAAATTTTTTCTCATGGGGGTAGATTGATTCTTTGTAAATGTAATTGGTTTCTAAAATTTAGTTGACCAGCCAAGACTAACAAGAGTTGACTTGTACTCTTTGTGTATCCTTTCTTGACCGTCCACTCCCCACTCCTAGAAGAAATGACTATGTCCTTTTGTATTTTCACAGCACCTGTCAGATTCTATTATACTTATTGTTATACGTATATGGGCCCATAGAACATGGCATACTCCTGGGTGCTTAATGAACTCAGATTTTGCTATCAAGAGGCAGAGATCAGATCAATCAAGAAATCTGTGTCAAATACACTGCTACTGGGAAGGTGAAATGATATAACCACTTTGGAAAACAGTTTGGTAGTTTCTTTAAAAAATTTAAATGTACATCCACCATATGACCCAGCAATTCTCCTAAGAAATGAAAACATATGTCCACACCAAAACTTGTGTCTGCAAATATTTACAGCAGTATTATTCACAGTAGCCAAAAAGTGGAGAAAAATCCAGCTGTCCATCAATGGATGGATTTAAAAAATATGCACTAAAAAAATGAAATACTGATAAACACGCTATAACATGGATGAAACTCAAAAACATTATGCTAAGTGCAAAGAAGCAAGACACAAAAGATCATATATGATTCTATTTATATGAAATATCCAGAGAAGATAAACCTATAGCAAAAGTAGATTCGTAATTGTGGGGCTGAGCATGGGAATGAAGAGTAACTGCAAAGAGGCACTGAGGTTTCTTTCTAGGCTGACGGAAATTTCCTACAATTAGTTCATGTAAAGACAGACTGCAGAATTCTGGGCATTCCCTGGCAGTCCAGTGGTTAAGATTTGGCGCTTTCACTGCCGTGGTCCTGGGTTCAATCCCTGGTCGGGGAACTAAGAACCAGCAAGCCATGCGACACAGCCAAAAAAAAAAAAAAAAAAGACTGCACAATTCTGTAAATAAACTAAAAAATCATTGAATTGTATACTTAAAACAGATGAACTTTATGTTATGTAAATTATACCTCAATAAAGCTGAAAAACAGATAATTACATGAAAACATACAAAATAGGTATTTAGGCCAAGATGGATGGGAAAGCTATCAGCCTTTGTGTATTCTCTTATTTTAAACTTGGCTCTCGTTGGGTACTCTGGCTGTATCATATAGTTTCCTACTTCTTCCTCTAAGATGACAAGAATTGATCAGTTTAAACTGTGTTAATCAGGGTCTTATTTTTGGTATATGCAATCTCTAACACTAAAAACGACTGGGAAAGCCTTGGGGACATTAGTCTATAAAGTAAGAACTGGTAAGGATCATGCATCTTTGGAGAACCAGCTATGCAGGTGTTATGGACTGCATGCTTGTGTCTGTTCCCTGCCCCCGCCCCCTGCCCAATTCATATACTGAAATCCTAATTCCAAATGTGACTTGGTACTTTGAGGTATACTTGGAGGCCTTTGGGAGGTAATTAGGTCAGGCGGGTGGCACCCTCATGATGGGGTTAGTGCTATTTATATGAAGAGAAAAGAGACTAGAACTTGTTCTCTCCATGTGAGGATACAGTAAGAAGGCAGCTGTCTACAAGCCAAGAAGCACTCACCAGACACCAGGTATCCTGGACTTCCCAGCCTCCAGAACTGTAAGAAATACATATGTGTTTTGTTTAAGCCACCTAGTCTATAGTCATTTGTTATAGCAGCTTTGGCAGACTAAAACAGGTATCTTTTCCCAGTGACTACTACAGCACCTTAATATTCTTCCACAGTCTCCTATCCTGATAGATTAGAAAACAGAAGAAACCTATAAGGAACAGAATGGTAGAGGGCCATAAACAGTCACCTCAGAGACTCCCTGCTTTGGAAACCACCTACTTATATAGGAACTGTTGCTAATAGGAATCATTCTAACCAAAAACAGTTATTTACATAGTACCTCTGCATCAGTACTTGATTCCTTAAGTTAAGGTACAGCTCAGATCCTGGTCCCTCTTAGCAGCAGCATTTAGCTATGTTTTAGGGAATACATACCCGCCATTGTTTGGATGCCATTAAAGAAGTACTTTATTTTTGTCATTGTGGATTCTACTACCCTTAGTTTAGTAACACAGAAATACTACATGATCTCTATTTAAAAAGTCTTGGATTAAGCTCTGGAGAATTTTCATAGGCAAATTCTTCTGTGTGGGCTGGATCAGTAAATACTCCAATAAAATCTATTTCTAGGAAGAATGGACCATCCACTTTATCAGCCAGGGTGAATCCGATAGAAGAGATCTAAATTTAAAATAGAGAAATTGATCAAAATCTCATATGCTGATGTTGTTCCTGGAGTTTTAAAATTCCGTACTATCAGCCCTTAGCAAGTATACGATAGTTCTCATGTGCCGTAGCCAATTAGAGGAAGTACAGGACTGCTTTTCTTTCCACATTCTACTTCTCTCTTTAAAGGAGTGCCAGTTAAGACTAGTAAGTACAACATGGATGTCTAATGGAGGTTCCTTGAAGCTCTCCTGAACTCTAATACTCTTATTTTAAAGCTAAAATAAAATGTAGGCACGCTGAAAGGAGGACCATACTGAAATTCCTCCAGGATGGGGGTTTGGCTCACAGGATAGCTCTGAGTCAGCATCTGTCTAGGTATAATAGGAGTATACTTAAATAGGAATTTTCATCTTTCATTTGCCAGCCTTCAAAAATGGACTGAACTCATCCTCACAGGAGTTCTGTTTCACTAAAGATAATATAGTTCTGAGTGAAAATACAGGAAAATGTTACCTTGTCAAGCAGAAGCTGGTACTGGGCATCCCGGATTCTTCCTCGATTAGAGAAGAAAAATTTGGAGAAAGGAATCTGAAAGAAGAAACCATTGACTTCAGATCTGACATTCAAGCAACGGAGGCATCTGTTTAGAACTGCAATGATAAAATAATAACGGCTTAAATTGAATTTTAAAATTAATATGTGAAGTTATAACAAGTGGCTAGTCATTTGGATCACAGAAAAAAAAATTTTTTTAATGAAATAACCTAAGTACTAAAAGAAAACAGGTGAAAACATTTCTAAGCCAGGAGTCCCAAAGGAAAAAATGACAGAGAACAATTATAACTTTCTGATGGCAAAAACTAGTATCCTAAACACAAAACTTTTACAAATAACTAAGAAAAAGATTAAACAACCCAGTAGAAAAATGGGCACATCTGTATACTGCTGGTAGGAGTGCAAATTAGTCCAACTCTTAGAGAGCAGCAGCTAGCAACTGTGGTAGGCAGGATTCTAAGATGACCCCCAAGATTTCCACCTAGTGGAAATCACCTTCTTCCAGGGATTCAAACACAAATCTCAGTGCTGCTGTGAAGGGACTCTCCTGAAGTCTGGTCCCAAATCAGTTGACTTTAATATAGGGAAGATTATCCTCTGTAGGTCTGACTTAATCACTTGAGCCCATAAAAGTGCCTGGTAAAAGAGGTCAGAAGAATGAGAGGGATTCAAAGGGGAAGGTCAAGGGGATTCTCCACTGCTGGCTTTGAAGATGGAGGGAGCTAAATGGTAAGGAATGTGGACAGCTTCTAGGAGCTGAGAGTGACTCCCAGCTGACAACCAGTAAAGAAACCAAGACATCATTACAATCACAGGAACTAAATCTGGCCAATAACCAGAGTGAGCTTGGCAGTGGATTCTTCCCCAGAGCCTCTGAAAAGAAGTACAGGCCAGATGACACCTTGATTTCAGCCTTAGAAAGCCCTGAGCATTGAACCTGGCCACAGGGTGTCCCAAAGCATGACTTACAGAACTGTGCGAAGTTTGTGGTAATTTTTTATGTAACAATAGGAAACTAACACAGCAATATCTAGCAAAATTTGAAATGCCGTAACTTGATCTGACAGTTTCACTTTTAGGAATTTATATTACAGATAAACTCTGACAAACACATAAAGATACAGCTTTTTCTAATTAAAAAAAAAAAGGAAAAATAGGGGAATAGTTCAATAAATTATAGTGCAACCATACAACTGAATACTATACAGCTATTTTAAAAAATGAAGTAGATCTATATATGATGCTGTGGGAAGACCTCCACGATATATTAGTAGTAAAAAAGTAAGAGATAAACAAAATCTATAGTATAAATATCATTTATGTTATTAAATACAACTTTTTTCTTGGCCACACTGTGTGGCTTGCAGGATGTTAGTTCCCTGACCAGGGATTGAACCTGGGCGCTGGCGGTGAAAGCCCCAAGTCCTAACCACTGGACCACCAGTGAATTTCCCCTAAAAACAAATTTTTTAAATGCCTAAAAAAAAACTAATAAAAAATTTACTATAGCAATTGGGAACAACCCAAATATCTATCAATAAGGACTAGTTCAATCAGCTATGAGATATCCATATAATAGAAAATACCAAACAAAATAACAAAGAATGAAAAATAATTCCATGTAGTGATATGGAAGCTCTCCAGGATCTAAATTTAAAAAATATAAACTGGCACAGGAGACACATAAAGTATGCTATATTTTTTGAGTAAAAAAAGGGAGAAAATAAGTGTATGTGTATATATACTTGCTTATATTTGCTTAAAAAAACAATCTATGGAAGAAACTAATAAATGTGGTTACCTATAGAGGGTGAGGGCAAAAAGGGTGGAGAGAGAACTGAGTGGGAGTGAGACTTTTTTGTACATCTTTTTATATTATTTTGATTTTTGAGCCAAAACATAAAAATGAGTTAAAAAAATAAAATGTACTGTTCAGATTATCACCAAAAACACTTGCTGACATAAAAGCAAACTCAATTCAAAGCTCATTTAATAAAGCACAAGATCACGTTCCTCACACAGCAAATCCAAGTGCAGTCAACATCCTCAGTTCACGGGCTCCCTTCGTTTCTGTTACACAAACCTGGAAGGGACCCTGCACCCCCAGCCTCCCGTCAGTTCCTCATTTTTGCATCCTGGTTGGGCACTTCATCTACCTCATTATTCAAAATATATTTTGGAAACAGAATCAATACTACCTGCTCACCATTCAAGGAGCGTGTGTCACCCACCCCACTGGCCTTTTGTTTTTTTGTCATGTAATTTGCTAAGGCCACTGTCCACATCAAGGGAATTTTATAGCCTGGAAAAAAAATGAAGCTAAGAAGAAGCATTAAATTGTACAGCTTGCATAAAAAGAAAAGGATCAACAGTTGTTTTCTCTCTACAAATGACAGAAAACTAGCATGCATAATTTTTCCATCATTTTCCTCTGTTTTCTTTCTCTAATCATAGTAAATATTTGAGCATCTCACTTCTATTTACTAAAGGAGAATTATTCATGAAGACATGGACAGCAATGAATAACATTTAATTTTTAAAAATCTCTTCCCTGGGACTTCCCTGGTGGCACAGTGGTTAAGAATCTGCCTACCAATGCAGGGGACATGGGTTCGAGCCCTGGTCCAGGAAGATCCCACATGGCACCTAGCAACTAAGCCCGTGCACCACAACTGCTGAGCCTGCGCTCTAGAGCCCGCGATCCACAACTACTGAGGCCTGTGTGCCTAGAGCCTGTGCTCCGCAACAAAAGAAACCACTGCAATGAGAAGCCCGTGAACTGCAACGAAGAGTAGCCCCCGTGTGCTGCAACTAGAGAAAGCCCACGTGCAGCAATGAAGACCCAACACAGCCATAAATAAATAAATTTATTAAAAAGATAAAAATAAAAATCTCTTCCCCAACACTTCCTTTAATAATTTAAAGAGGGACTTCCCTGGTGGCGCAGTGGTTATGAATCTGCCTGCCAATGCAGGGGACGCAGGTTCAATCCTTGGTCCGGGAAGATCCCACATGCCATGGAGCAGCCAAGCCTGTGTGCCATAACTACTGAGCCAGCGCGCTAGAGCCCGCTAAGCCACAACTACTGAAGCCCACGTGCCTAGAGCCCACGCTCCACAACAAGAGAAGCTACCGCAATGAGAAGCCCATGCACCTCAACAAAGAGTAGCCCCCTCTCGCTGCAACTAGAGAAAGCCTGCATGCAGCAACTAAGACCCAACGCAGCCAAAAATAAAATTTTAAAGTAATAATAATAGTTTAAGGAAAGATGTTCCAAACAACTATCATTTCCAGCCAAAGATTAGAACTACATGTATTTTCAGGAAAGAAAGTAATAAGTAATTGTCAATGATTATACTGGCAAATAATTTGGCAATGTGCATCAAAGGCCTTAAAAATGTACATATCATTTATTCTAGGAATTTTATTTCCAGAAATACATCTAAGAAAATATTTAAGGATATTTACCTCAGAGTTTGGTATAAGAGTGAAAAACTCTGAAAACAATCTAAATGTACAACAATAGAGGATGGATTAAGTAAATTGTGTCTATTTACATAATATCATGCAGATACCAAAAATGATGTAGAAATATATTTCAACAGAAAGTTGTATATAAAATTCAGTTCAGTGAACAATGTATGTTATAAAATAGCACTGGCACAATACAATTCTTGTAAAAAAAAAAAGTGTAAATAGAAAAGTCTGAAGGTGCATACTAAAATAAAAATAGTATTTTACCTCTGGGTAGTGGTACCACAAGATTTTTTTCCTTTTCTGCATTTTCTAAATTTTCTATAATGAGATACTTGTTTTGTTTAGTAATTTGTTATAAGTATTATTTATATACAAGTGTTACATACATAATAATTTTTTGGTTATACATCTGTATTAGTGTATAAATATGTATCTATTATATGCTAGGCACTGCACTGTTCTAGGTGCAGGGGAAACAGCTATGAAGGATACAGACAAAGTCCCTGCTCTCAGAACTTACAGAATTTATGTTCCAGAGGAGCCTGGTAGAGAGTAACAATAAACAAATAGACAAGTGAATGAAAAAGATAATTGAATGAATGAAATAGACAAGTGAATGAAAAAGATAATTTTACTTAGTGATAAGTTCTATGAAAAAATTAAATAGGATGTTGTTATTGGGTGAGAAGGTGCAACTCTAGCTAGAAGGATCAGGAAAGGCCTCTCAGGTGGCTTTGGAGCTGAGAGGTAAATAACAGGAAAGAGGAAGCAGGTGAAGACGTGGGAGAAGAGCATGCCCACAGATACAGCATGAAATACAAAGGCTCTGAGACAGAAGTAGTTTGTTGGGTATGACACACACAAAAGGGGCCAGTATGGAGGAGGGAGGGGGGAGGACAGACTGAAGATGAAGACAGGGGTCTGCTACTGTAGGCCCTGTAGGCCATGTTAAAGAGTTTGGACTGTATTCTAATAAGGGGAGACCACTGGAGGGTTTTAAGCATGTGAGTGATGTAGTCTGAACTATGCTTTAGAAAGATCACTCTGGCTGCTGTGTGCAGAGTGGACTTTAGGAGGCAAGAAGACAAAGAAGGATATCAATAAAGAAGCTCCTGTAGTAGTCCAAAGGCCTGGACTAGGGTGAGAGTGGAAGAGATGGCTAGAAATGGTCAGATTCTAGGTGTATTCTGGAAGGATAGGTGAGCGAATTTGTTAAAAGACTAGATGCGGTGTGAGGGAGAAAGGGATCCAGGATGAACCCTTAGGTTTAAGTATGAGCAAAATGGGGACTTTCTTTTGAATTTATGGATTAAAAACCTTCAGAAGGCAGAAGAAAAAATGGGCACCTGATTTTGCCCTCACTCCCTGAATTTCCACTATTTTCCTCCTGATTAACATTTTTTACCTTCTAAAAGTTTTTTCTCCCTACAAAATAAGATTGCCTTATATTACCAAGAAATAAACAAAACCAAAAATGTTGATAACTGTAAAGTATGAAGTATTTATTCCTCTTAAAGGAGCCTTTCTGCTCAGCTAGGGACACTAGCTTAGTACAGTTGCCTGGAAGAGATGATATGGCCAGAACTTAAGAAGAAATACCTATAGTACTGATAATTATGCACAGGGCAGAGATGGACCCATGACTCAGCATGGACCTGGCCACATCCTTATCAAAAATATTTACTGGTCAGTAAGCTAACATTTATATTAATAAAAGAAAAAGTCAGACTTCCCTGGTGGCGTAGTGGTTAAGAATTCGCCTGTCAATGCAGGGGACACAGGTTTGATCCCTGGTCTGGGAAGATTCCACATGCCGCAGAGCAACTAAGCCCACGCACCACAACTACTGAGCCTGCGCTCTAGGGCCCGCGTGCGGCAACTATTGAGCCCACGTGCTGCAACTACTGAAGCCCGCGCGCCTAGAGCCCATGCTCCGCAACAAGAGAAGGCACTGCAGTGAGAAGCCTGCGCACGGCAACAAAGAGTAGCCCCTGCTCGCCACAACTAGAGGAAGCCCATGCGCAGTAACGAAGACCCAACGCAGCCAAAAAATAAAAAAAGTCAATTATGTAAATCTTGCCCTTAGGTCCTCTTCCTTCTTTCCTTTCCCACACTGTCCAAGAGGAATTAATAAGAAAAAAAAAAAAAACCACAATGTAACCATGATCTCATAAGACCTCATTTTCATACATAGTAAAGACTTATGCTGTTACCTTGACTTCCTGCCAGTAGGGCCCCCCACGGGTGAACATGAAGTAACTGTACATCTGATCCTTCCTCTGGATTACATCCGTGTCCTCCCTGATATTCACCATCCAAGGTCGACCATCTCCACGGACACGAAGATACAGAGTGTTGAACTGGGACCAATCATAAAACCTCTTCCTCTCAAAAGGGCCCTAAGGTATAGAAAGGAAAGTTAATTTCACCTCATTTTCCACTATTAGCAAAATGTGAGTCATCACCTTTTACAGCATCAAAAGGATCAACAAGCCATTTTTCTGCTTTTTTCTGCTTCCTACCGCGGTAAGGAGGCAGATAAATCTGGTGATTCTTATTTTAGTACAAAATACTGACCTAGTTAAATGTTTCTAAGGTAATGTTCAAGACCTGATTGGCCCAGGACAGTGTTTACATGGGGTAGACACTCACTTGTGTCACTGAACGGAAATGAATTACTGTATGTACTTTCTTTCCCAGGGCCTAGGAAGCAATGGCTTCTGACTGGGCCATTTTATGACAACTGCCTTCCCATAAATCAGAAAACTATGAAAGACCTCAAGTTTTAAAACTGGTATTTTTTTGACAACACCTACCATCCATTGAAAATATACATTAATCACTCTGCATGCATAATTTAATCCTCACAACAGCTCTGAGATAGGTACTATCATTGTACTCCATTTCATAGATGAAGAAACTGAGCACTCAACCAGTAAGTGGTAGGTCCAGTGCTATTTAACTCCAAAATCTATGTTCTTAACAACTACCTAAATTGTCTCTGAAAGTAGAACGTAGTGTTAATTTCCAAAGGTGTTTGTTTACAGCAATCTCAGAGCTAATCGGATTTCAAGAATAACAGTGCTCAGATACGAACTATTACTTACTAGTCATGTAATTTTAGACAAGCTACTAAATCTCCCCAAGCCTGTTTCCTCATCTGTAAAACTGGGATGTTTATACCTTACAGGATTGATGTGGGGAATAAAAGGGATAATGCATATAAAGTAATTAGCACAAGGACTGGCAGGGTAACTGAATAAATGTTATCGACTACTTTCATTATTCCACAGTACATCATAGAATTATTTTCTACTGTGGGCTGACCAAATCCATTCTGTGGATTTTCAGGGCCTGAAAAAAAAAATCTTGTACACATAGTTTATTACCTCTGAAAGAACATGAACCTTTCTTTTTCATCATTATCTGGAGAGAGGGAGCCTAATACTATTCCTATCATTTGCCTTTCTCCTTAAAACACCATAACCAAGGGACTTCCCTGGTGGTCCAGTGGCTAAGACTCCGCAATCCCAGTGCAGGGGGCCCAGGTTCGATCCCTGGTCAGGGAACTAGATCCCGCATGCAGCAACTAAGAGTTCGCATACTGCAACTAAAGATCCCACATGCCGCAACAAAGATCCCGCTTGCTGCAACTAAGACCTGGCACAGCATGCATGCATGCATGCATGAATGAATAAGTAAATATTTAAAAAAAAAAAAAAGGGCACCACAACCAAGCAAACACCCATGGGCTGTGACCACAGCCGGGCACAGGAACCTGTCCAGAGCAGCCCTGAAACACCTGATCAGCATTGCAAAAAGCAACAGGATGGTGGCGAGACAAAGGAGCTGACCTAAGTAGCCTTGGAAAATGGTGTTCTGACTGGAAACCAAAAGGCTAAAGACAAAAGAAACTATACATAAACATTGTACTGTAGTTGGTAAAGTTGTTTCTCACAGGGTTATGGGTTAGAAATTCTGCAACTGCTTTATTTATTTAATTTCCGGCTGCGTTGGGTCTTCGCCGCTGTGTGCAGGCTTTCTCTAGTTGCGGCGAGCGGGGGCTACTCTTCGTTGCGGTGCACGGGCTTCTCACTGCAGTGGCTTCTCCTGTTGCGGAGCACAGGCTCTAGGCGTGCAGGCTTCAGTAGTTGCGGCACGCAGGCTCAGTAGTTGTGGCTCACGGGCTCTACAGCGCAGGCTCAGTAGTTGTGGCGCACAGGCTTAGTTGCTCTGTGGCATGTAGCATCTTCCCGAACCAGGGCTCGAACCCGTGTCCCCTGCATTGGCAGGCAGATTCTTAACCGCTGTGCCATGAGGGAAGCCCTGAAACTGCTTTACATGTACTCTTGGGTCGAATTAATAAATGTATAGTAAGTGGCGGGAGACAGGCTTCACACCGTTACAGAAGTTATCAATAAACAAGAGGGAGGAAGCTAGAATAAATCATGTGGTACCGGATTAGAGTCAAAGCATCAGTATGAACTCATACTTAGCTTAATATAGATATAGAAATAGTTACAGATGGTGTTTCCATGAGTTGGTATGCATACATATATTTCCTAGCTGTGTCCACTGAGAGGTCCTAGAAATAGTGTCAATCCAGAAGCAACAAGCATACTCAGCATCCAGATCTTGGTTTCCAACTCCATCTTCCAAAAAAAAAAGAACCAGGGCTCCTTTGAGAAATGGCTAATTCTAGGGTTGGAACAGAGAAAATGCAAGATGAGCTTACAGCACCTCGTAGTGCCAAAAAGTGCTCAAAAACACAAAAGGATGGGGACATGTCAAAGGGACACGGCCAACCTGAAAGAGCTCCCAGTGGCCAAAGCTGGAACAATCTGAGCAACAAAATAAATAACATAGTATTGGATTATAACCCAAAGTGTGAGTCCATACTAAATGACTGAATAAATAAATAAATGTGGGAGAAGAAACAAATCTTCCTTTCTGAAAAATCCCAAATAATTTATGTAAATACTACCCCTTCCAGGAGCTAGAACTTAATCCCACACCCTACCCCATGCCTTGAATGCAGGGTACACTTAGTGACTTGTTTCCAAAGAACAGAATACGGAGGGAAAAAAAAAAAGTAACTTAACAATGGAGTAATCTGACAAATACTACCTTGAACAGGTGACCAAGGTTAACACATCAGTGATAAGTCATGCTACTAGCATGTACCCTAATACAATGAGAAGGGTACTTCAACTCTGTGCTGTTCTTCCTAAAAACCCAGAAAACTCAAGTCTAACCAGGAGGGAAAAAAATCAGAAAATCCCAAATTGAGGATCATTCTGCAAAATACCTGACCAGTATTTCTCAAATCCTCATGAAAAATAAGGAAAGACTAAGAAATAAGGAAAGACTAAGTAACAGACTAAGGAGACATGACAACTGGATGTAATGTAATGTATACTGGCTGGGATACTGAAACAGAATAAAAGATATTATGGAAAAACTGGTGAAATCCAAATACAGTCTGGAATTAGTTAACAGTAACGCAGCAATGTTGGCTTCTCAGTTGTGGCAAATGTACCAAGTGATGTAAGATGGTAACAACTGGAGAAGCTGGGTGAGAGACACACAGGAACTCTCAGTACCATCTTTGCAATTTTTCTGTAATACCAAAAATATTCTAAAATTTAAAAGTTTACGTTAAAAAAAAAAAAAAAACGAAAACCCCGGCTGACCCTACTTCCACTCTAAGGAACCCCCAGCCATTAGAGGGTCTACGGCCTATGTTAGAGGAGATGTAAATCTCCCCAGATCATCGTTTAAATATCTAACCTCTCAGGGCTCCTCAAACATAAGCATGCCCCACCCTGGCCCCAAGTGATGCCCAGAAACATGTAACCTCTCTTCAGGAACCACTTCCCCCTTGTGCTTATGAAACTTTACACTTGTGCCCAGCAGTTATTTAACCCCAAACACAAGATGAGATGCCAGCTGTTTTCATTTACAGAAAAAAAAGCTGTCTGCTATAGTTCATGCTACAATGAAGTTCACCTCAGTTCACTAGAAAACTGCAGCTCCTGGGTCTCACGTACCGTTGGAATCTTGGATATCATTGCACAGTATCCACTTCGGCCACTCTCCCCGTCCTGGGGTGCCTCAGAGCTCAGAGTTCCATACAGCAGTGCACTTTGGTTACTCCTGCCCATTTTCAGGAACACTTCACTTCTGCCACCAATCGTCTTATCAGAAGTCACTATCCACTTATCCAAATCTTCTTTGCCACGGAACTGCCAGACAACCTTGGCTTGTTCCATCAAGACCTCATGCAGAGGGCGGCCTTCAGGCCCTATCCAATGATTCACAATATCATCCTTCAAACGCCTAAAATGGTCCTTTATTTCTTCTTTAATTGCTTTATCAAAACTAACTTCAGGCTTGTCCTCAGGAGAAGTTATATCCAAAGCAACTTCTCTCTGGTGATGTCCTTCCAAATTCCCTTCAGTCTTCCTCTGAGAAGAGGCTTTGCCAGGAGCAGCCACTGGTTTCTCAAGACTGCTAGAACAATAATCTGCAAAGCGAGTATTCAAAAATGGACAAGAGGCAACACCTGGCTTCGGGCATTTTCTGAGAATATAAGTGCCATTCAGCAATTTATGAACCAAAGCCATGATTAAAAGAAAATCAAAATGTAAATTTTTCCCTGGCCTACCAGGGAAAGAAGCTTCAGCAAATAGCCCAATTCCACCTATAATAAAAGAGACAGTGAAGAGTTACCAGTATAGCCAATGAGTGCATCATAATTTCAAATTCAACATGGATCATGTACTATGAAATTCATGAACTTATTTTCTAATTCTATGAACATTTACCCAGGGCCTACTATGAGCAGAAGAATGTTTACACTGTACATAATACATCCCACTGCCTTGTGAAAAAATGCCAAGATGAACAGAAACACAGGCCCCGTCATGGAGTTAATGATCAACCCCCAAATAATTCAAGTATGTGCTTCAAAAGGTTGTCAATTTTAAAGCAAATTTTTATGCCGGATTTTTAAAGAAATAATTGGTTCCTAAAATAAAATATTCAACTGTCAGTAATTCACTCCAGGATCTAGGCTAACCAATATTTTAGCACTTCATCTATAGAAAGAAGAGACTACAGTTCACATTGTATGTGGAGTCAGAGGCCTGGACTTCACACCTAGAACTGTTTACCCTCAGGTAAAGCAGTTGATCTTTTGAGACCTCCATTTCCTCGGGGGAATGGATGTGCTAACACCTCCCCTACCTACCTTAAGGGAGTCTTCTATGGATCAGATGGAATAATGGCTATAAAAGGTTTCTCTGATCCAGTTAAGTCTGACAAGATCCCCAAGATTCTTCATGTCTAAGAAGCTCCTAGTCTAAGGCCCACACTTTGAGTAACAAGGCTCTATCAGCCACTATCTGATCTCCTCAAAGACAGAACCTAAACAATAGTAGCAATAATACCATTACATTTAAATGCCATTCTTAGTATTTTTAAGTCACCCTGACAAATATCTCATTTAATCCACATAAGCCTCCTGTAAGACAAGTTAGGTAGTTATCTCCTTTCACAAGAAACTAGACACCAACAGGTGAAGTAACTTGCCTAAGATTACAATGCTAATCAGTATGGAAGCTAGCACTAGAACCCTGGCCTTAAATCCTTCCATTAGTTACTGCTGCCTCTCCCTACGTTAACCATTAGTAATATAACTTCCATAGCTCTACTGAAGTAACAACTTTGCTCTTGCAGCAACATTCAATGACTGCTGGCAGGAAGTGCTGCAAGAACCAGGAAGGCTAAAGAGTCCCCTCTCCTACTTATTCCAGCTACCCCGAAAATGAAATAAAATACGGAATGCTGACTTCTTCATCTTTCTCCTTTGTCTTTCTCTCACCAGAGACCAGGAGAGAGAAAAATCAAAAACAAAAAATCACCCACTAGTCAGAACACAGTACTGAGTGAGAAACTAGATGGAATGCTGAAAACTTAAAAAAAAAAAAACTTCAAAAATGCCCAAATCCAACAATTCAGCTCAGTCGCCTGAGAGTCTACATCAAAATGGCAACCAGACCACTCTATCTACAACACAGGGCTGGTCATCTTTCCAGACTGCCCCTCCTCCCTCACTCCCCACATCAGGTGGCTCACCACCTTCTCTCTCCTAAATCACTGCACTCCAGGCTTGCACCCAGACCTCCACCTTATCCCACCGCTCAGCATCTAGAGGGCCTAATACACAAAATTGATTGTTTTCTCTGATTAAAACTCTTCAGAGGGGGTTTCCCTGGTGGCGCAGTGGTTGGGAGTCCGCCTGCCGATGCAGGGGACACGGGTTTGTGCCCCGGTACGGGAAGATCCCACATGCCGCGGAGTGGCTGGGCCCGTGAGCCATGGCCGCTGAGCCTGCGCTTCCGGAGCCTGTGCCCCGCAACGGGAGAGGCCACAACAGTGAGAGGCCCGCGTACCGCAAAAAAATAAAAAAACTCTTCAGAGGCTCTCATGATCTTCAGAATAAAACTCGACTTTCTCCACGGGGTCTGTAAGACCCCTCCAGATCTGGCCTCTGCTCATTTCTCCAGCCTCCCCTCTAATCACATCCTACTCTGCTCTAACCACAGAGAACACCTGTGGTCTAACAAGTGCCACCTAGTACCCCCTTTCTGGGTTTCATGCCTTGGCAGATTGCTGCTCCTAGGCCAGAAATGCCCTCAACCGATTTCTGCTGGCTGATTTATCCTTTGGGACTCAGCTTAGGCATCCATTACCTCCTCCAAGAACCCTTAATTACTCAACTCCACCAAGACCTTTTGATGTGTTGCATCCTGGGCTTACACTTTCCCTGCTACAGTTTATTGACAGTTCCCTTGTCAGTCTCCCCTGCCAGAGTGGAAGTGTCTTGAGGGGAGAGACTATCTTCATTGTGGTACTTCCAGCAACCAGGATGGTGCCAGACGTGCAGGAGGCTTCTAATATTTGTTGAACAAATAATATCTCCCCATTTCTCCACCACTACCACCACTGTCTTGGTTCAGGGTTTTATTGTTTCTTACCAGAACTACTGTAACTCCCCCACCAAAGGGCTTCTGAAATGTTAAAGCGCCTATGAATCATCTGGGAATTTTGTTAAAGTGCAGATTCTGATTTAGTAGGTGAAGGATGGGGCCTGAGATTCTTTATTTCTAACGAGCCACCAGGTGTTGCCCTTAAAGTTGGCACTGAGAACACCCTTTAGGATTTAGTAAGGTCCTAACTCAGATCTCCTCCTCCTCTCCCAATCCGACCTTTGCCTGGCAACAAAGGGGATTTTTCTAAATATGATGGCACTCCCCTTATTCAGCAATTCCCTCCAGAAATTCAAACTCCTAAAATGGTACACAAGGCCCTCCAAAATGTGCCCAACTCCCTGGCCTAAATTTCCTCACTTCCATGGGTAATAAATACCCTCAGCTCTATTAATTATACTAACTATAATCACGTCTGAACACACACACAAAAAAACATTGCTCAAAAACCACAAAAGTGAGGCTTCCCTGGTGGCGCAGTGGTTGAGAGTCCGCCTGCCGATGCAGGGGACACGGGTTCGTGAGGCCCGCGTACCACAAAAAAAAAACAACAAAAAAAACCAAAAGTGACCAAACATTCTACTATCCTGGCTAATATGAGTGACTGCCATACACTGACCAGTCATAGCATTAGCCTCACTCTAGATAGATAAGATTCTCTCCTAATTATAGAATTGCCTCCACCTCAATACTTTCCCCTAAATCACCTAACACAAACCTAAGTCCAACAATAAATCCCTTCTAACACCCTCTTACTGAGATGCCCCATGGTTTCCCATGGCATGTGTTCTTTCTCACTACAAGAGTAATAAGCCTAACTTCAACTACAAGCATGTTCCTGGTGGCCTCTGATTGGAGGGCACTGACATTGCTCTTCCTCCATATTCTTATGAGAACCTATGCATACATCTCACAGCCCTTTACAAACTATTAGAATCTTGCTTTTTTTTCTGTCTACCTAACTAGCCTGACTTTAATCCTGGACTATGGCTTAAACATAACTGATACACAATGTTTGCTAAAATAAATGAAAACCATGCAAACAGTATGTTTTCACATGGACTAAAAAATAGAAGGGAACCAGGAAAAATAACAACAGTTGATCTCACGTCCTGGAATCATAGGTAATATCTAAATTTCCCTCACTGACTTCTTTAAATGATTTTACCTCTACATATGCAGGAATTTGGAAAATAAATGATAAGCCTATAAAATGGAATTTGTACAATCATAAACACGATTTTCGTTAACACCATGCTTAGGCTACACTACTGAGTGGCAAATAAGGAGGAATCAAAAAGCATATACACTAACATTACAACTATAAAAACGTACGCACAAAAAGATTTGGGGGTAAAAAAGAAGAAAAAGGCTTAAAGTCGTGTGTAGGATGATGGGATTATAAGTAATATTATTCACCCTATTTTCCAACCCCTCAGTAGTGCTATCACTTCTCTAATAATATAACTTTAATTATAAGTGTTTTGTTTCATACTTTTACCAATAAACATAAAGTCAAAATCATTAAACTGGATGATCCCGGGCGGAAGTTGGTGAGTTTTCATAGCAACGTAACCCACGCAGCTGAGAGCAGTATTAATGAAGATTGTACATCCTGAGTTTACTATATGCCAGAAACTGTCCTGGGTGTATTTTCGTTAACTCCTCACAACAACCGTGAGAAAGGTACTATTATTATTCCACTTACTAAGCAAATTAAATTACTCCCGGTCATACAACTACTAAGCGGCAAAACCAACCCTAGAGCCCCGGTGTTTAGTCAGGGAGCGGTCGGGGCCGTGCCACAGCCCCCTCACCCCTCACCTGCTAGGGCCGTGGGGCCCTCACAAGCCCCGGTCGCTCCAACTCCCGGCTGGCGTTCACTAGCCTCCCCTGCCGACGCCTCAGAGTGACTTCCGCCCGAGCCCGGCTTTTCCTGACCGAGTTCTCCACTTCTCTGTAGGGCCGTCTGCTTTTCCAGGCCGGCGGGAAACTAGGCCTGATGACATGAGTTCCGGCCGGGTGCAGAGGCCGGGGAAGAGCAATGAGGCTACCGGACCCCGGCGAACTGAGGTTTTTGGTAGACTAGCTTCCCAAAAGTCTCCCCCACCCCCACTCCCCCTATCTCTTCTGCCCTGTGTGAGAAAGTGGGGCGAATTTAGAGAAGCTGTTCGCCTCTCCTTCCTGCATCCCGCCTTCAGACTGCAAACTCCATCCCGTCTTCTGCCCTGTGTGAGAAAGTGGGGCGAATTTAGAAAAGCTGTTCGCCTCTCCTTCCTACATCCCGCCTTCAGACTGCAAACTCCATCCCGTATCTTTCAAGTAGGACCCAGATATTGCTAACATCCTTCGCCCCCAAGGAGCCAGGGTCCACTCGTGCTCCATCCCACCATAGCCGCCCAAGAGCTGTACACGGCCTCAGAGGACTGGTTCTGCTGGAATTGCCCCTGCGGAATCTCTGGAGACCCAGCACAAACATGGACAGCACACCGTCCTACCCTCCCTTCCCCAATCCAGCCCCGTGGGGTCGCCCACTCCTCAGGGTTTCGATTGTATCTTGAGCACACCTCTGTCTGAGCACTTTCAACATTGTAACTTAATTATTGATTCACTTCTCACTTCCTCCACCACGCTGTGAGCTTCTTGGGTCCAGAAGGTGCTCTTCTTCCTGTCCCCAGCACCTAGCATAATGCTAGCAGGAATTAAGTGCTCAGCATGAATTTGAATGAATTGTAACCTCTGGCACTCAACACCGTTGTCCAGGGTTCCAAGACCTCGCCAAATACAATTGCCTTTTCCACGTTTCCTCCATCACCCTTTTCCACACCATCACCTCTTCCTTCTTTAAATTCTGCTTTGACTTCACTAGACTCTATACTTGCCTGGTTCTCCTACCTCCTTGAACCTTTTCTAGCTGCCTACTTTACTGACTCTTCTTTCTCCTCCCACAACCTTAAATGCGGGTTGTCTCCAAAGCCCAGCAGCCTATGGCCTTCCTCTTTTCTAGTTTCAGATATGAGTTATCTGCAGACAATCAGATAATCTCTTCCCCTAAACACCAGCATATATTTCCAATTTCTTGATAGCAGCTTCAGTTGTGGGATATACCACTAGCATCTCAAATGTGATTTGTTTAAAACAGAACGTATCACATTTACCCATATTAACTCCTCTTCTCATCCTCCCTGTTTCTGTAAATGCCTACATCCTTCTAAGCTGAAGATTCTTGGCTATCCTTGGCTTCTCTCCTTGAAACCTCCTCTCACTGACCTTAAATCCTGTTTGTTTGTTCTGTTTTGTTTTGTTGCCATCTTTGATATTTCACTCCTTTCCAAATCAAGTGAAACCCCAATAGTTATTGACCTATGCAATTTACATTCAATCTGCTTCTGGACACAACAGTTTGTCTATTTTCATTTAAAAATCACCCAGAGATAAACACAAAATTCCTTTGGCTTCCAGACGTGCCACTGCATCAATTCTAAACCCTCCATAATCTCCTAATCCATCTATACTATTCATACTTATCCTCAATTTCTCGTCTGTATGGCCAGGACACTCAAGCTCTCTGCACAGACCCTGCCACAAGTCCCTGCTTCACTCACATGACTATCCAATCCTCTTAAGTATAGGGTTAATTAGCCCCTGGTAACTGATGAGCCCCACCTGACGTCAACTCCCCACCCCCCCCCCCACCCCCGTCAATGGTAGCCTCCTTCTCCCCCCAACTATCAAAGATTGTTGCTATGTTCTGTCTGCCGCCCTTGGTGGGGTGTCACTCCAGGACCTTTTGCTTCAGACCTCCTATCCAATAATCCCTTGATGTCTCTGTCACTGTTTCCAGGCTCTTTCTTCTCTTTGGAGCTGGGCCTGTGGGGTGCAGCCCAACATCATCCCAGGTGTTACCTGCCTAAACCACACTCATTCCTCCTCATAATGGAGTTAATGTTTTCTCTGCTCAGTATTCCTCTTTTCCACATCCCACACGTTTGGTCTCAAGTGTCTACATGACTTCCCCATCCCCACGCCCTGACTTCAGCTGACTGGTCCAGTGGTAGAAACCTGGTCAGTATTGGGCCAATCGGTTATTACCAGGGACTTTCTGAACTAAAACTGGAAAAAAGAGCTTTTAACCCCTGGTGGTTCCGGTGGAGCTCCTGAGCAGCCTGGGGATATTGTGAAGAAAATTGGTTTATGGAAAGAGAAAATAAAATCAAGGTGCTAACAGAGACAGAAATGAAAGGATAAAAGAAGATCCAGTCAGCATGTATATTGCTAGTTCTAGAGGCCCAGCTGCATGGTTGTTTAGTCTTTTCCTTGACTTCTAAGCACCAATACATTTTTTTACCTAAATTTATCTGAGTTGGGTTTCTATCACTTGCAACCAATAGGTCTTAATTGATACATAGAATCCACCTATTAAGAACACACCTTAAATTCCATGTTCTCCTTAAAAACTTGCCCTAATGCCTCCATCTCAAAATGATTGCTCTCCTTCTGACATCCTATAATATTTATTCTTTATGCTGTAACACTGGCAATTACTTGTGTTCAAGTGAAAACTAGATTACAAACATGACTAAACTGCCTTCTCATTGTTTTACGTATACAAGGCTTTTCAACAGAGTAAGACCCTTGAAGGTAGTGATTTTTGTCATATACGTTAAAATATATATGACAGTAACCTGCACAAATTTAGACAGAATGGGCACTGCCTCAAGAGGCCAAACAGAAGACAAATTTCATGAAAACATTTTAGAAGGGCTGTAGTGACACAGTCAAGCAAAGAATATTGTAATAGGGCAAGAGGCAAATATGATTCAGCAATTTCACCTCTTGATGGAGTCCTTTCAGAGTTTGAGGCAAAGGAAATAAATGATTTCAGAAAAAGAGATTACCTGGTGGGAGTTTGAGGTCATCTGTAACCCTACAGATCCAGGGTTAGTTCCCTGCTGTGCTAATCCAGGAACTCGATTTTATCTGTTTACTCAGAGGATTACTTTATGACAAGCAACTTCATAGGAGGAGAAATGACAAACCAGAATGTCCATTTATTAATTGACAACAGAAAATGGGTCTGATTTGAGACCCAAGACCACCTACCCAGGACAGTCCCTCCTGGTGGGGAAACCCACCCTCCAGGCCAGACACAGACCAGTGGGTGAGGAGGGTCACATAATTAGAAACAGCTGGCAGTGCTCAAGCGCACTGTCCTTTAAACAACAGGTATTGTCTATTCTTCCTTTGGGGATATTTCTATCTGCTGTTCTGAGACCAGACGTTTTATGACGCCACTTTAATCAGTATATAAACACAGACATGTTCTTTTCCTGTGGCTCTTGTCTTAGTTGACTCCAGGTAGGTAAACCCCAATCCACCCCCCACCAATATATGAGCAGCGACAATCCCTTCAGACCAAGGTGATTTTATCCTCCTTTACAATTACAATCACAATCCAGGTGGCTCTATCACTGTCCCTTCCTGACTTAGATTTGGGAAAGATCCACTGTGTCTGCTACAGCATTACATATCTCCTCAACCTGAATTGCTTTTGCTTAAACCTAGGAGAAAATTTATTTTTCACTTGCCAGGGTGCAAGATTTGGACAAACTTAATAGCTTCAGTTTCTGATTGACATTTCCTAACTGGTAGTTGTTTTCTGGAGTTGAGCCCTAAGAGGGAAACTACTCATTGTTTCCTGATATTTGTTCTTCCTTTGTTTCATTGTAATAGAATATTTAGCTGGGCCCATAAATAAAGTTTACATTTCCCATTTGCAGCTACCAATGAAAGTGGGAATGTTATGTGATAGTGGCTAAGAGCTTTCCTTAAAAAAGTTGACAGGTGGGGGCTTCCCTGGTGGCGCAGTGGTTGAGAGTCCGCCTGCCGATACAGGGGACGCAGGTTCGTGGCCCGGTCCGGGAAGATCCCACATGCCACAGAGCGGCTAGGCCCGTGAGCCATGGCCGCTGGGCCTGTGCATCCAGAGCCTGTGCTCCGCTATGGGAGAGGCCACAACAGTGAGAGGCCCGCGTACCGCAAAAAAAAAAAAAAAAAAAAAAAGTTGACAGGTGTCCTCTCCATCCTTCCCCTTTGCTTTCATATTACTGCTTAGAACCTGTCATGACAGAACCCCATCCTGGACCAGAAGGATGAGGGCAAGCTCCTACAGAAGTAGTAGAAAGCTAGAAGGAGCCTGGGACCTTGAGGACTTTGTGAATCAGAGCAGCCAAAACAGCCCTGGATCGCCTATATCTGGACTCTAACATGAGAAGTAAGCTTTTTTTTTTCCTATTAACACTGCTAATTAGAGTTTATCATCCACAGGTGACTCTAATCCTAAATAATGTATCCCACTTTGTACCACTATCTGTAAGTGTACAGCTTGACCAATTTTGGGTCATGTTTCTTTTTTAGTAAAAATAACACATCCAGATAACTAATAAGGACCTACTGTGTAGCACAGGGAACTCTACTCATTACTCTGGAATGGCCTATATAGGAAAAGAATCTTAAAAAGAGTGGATATATGTATCTGTATAACAGATTCACTTTGCTGTACACCTGAAACTAACACAACATTGTAAATCAGTTATACCCCAATAAAGATTTTAAAAAAACCAACACACACACATACCCCCAGGGACTTCCCTGGCCATCCAGTGGTTAGGACTCCACACTTCCATTGCAGGGGGCGCGGGTTCCATCCTTCGTCAGGAAACTAAGATCTCGCACAAGAGTGTGGCCAACAGCAAACAACGATGACAACACATCCAGGTAGACCCAACAGGAAAGACAGACAAATAGGCAGGGACTTCCTAAACTCACTGAACTTTCTGTGATGATGGAAATGTCCCCTATCAACGCTGTCCAATATGGTAGACCTCAACTACATGTGGCTGTTAAACACTTGAAATGAGGA